GCTAGAAGCCCAGTTTTCAACCAAGCTCAAACAGTGTTTCCGGAAACTTTCCCTTTGTTATCAATACTACAATAGAGGGCACTAGGAAAGCAACATTTTTTGAAAAGAAAACGCCATAAGTGTGGCTGACAGTTTCCACCTACTCAGTTCAGCACTTATAGAACAGTGTAAAGTAGTAAAATATGTATGTATCAGCAGATTGTCAAATATTTTCTGAGGTTATTTTAGGTGATTTGAGGTGAAATGCGTTGAGCAACGTTACACAACATAATATAGCATAACATAAAGAAATAAAACATAACATAACTAACATAACATAACAGAACAGAACATAATAAAGCATAACATAAGATAACATATCTCGTTCTTCAGTTTTATTTTTTTCTATGTCGCTATATCTACATATCTGGGTGGGGTGCAACAACACCATACGCAATAAGGCCATAATGTCGTTATTTCGCTTGGCGATTGGTCTAGTTATCAGTTTGTTTAATTTTCTTTTCAGGCTGTATGTTGTAAATATTCACCATTATCGCTTTCATTGCAATAAGTTTCTTTCAAAATTCAATGTAAATATTTTCCATAAGAAACATCTGCTCTCATTGTTTGCCAATTTGGCGCTCAGCCAGAATATTGTACGTACTAAACTAAAATAAATTGAAGACACTAGGCCAGTAGTTTCCTTTACTTTATGTAAATAGTAGTTATAACATTAAATTCGTGCGCTGCTAGGGCGAGTGGGGAACAGACTTCATCGTACATATGTGTGAACAAGTACATATGTATGCACATATGTAGATACATACATATGTATGTAGATATAGGTAAAGTTGTTTGCAAAGCATAGGAATGTTTCCTTAACGAATGCCGGCAGAAACACCTCAGTTCCGAAATGCATTTTAAGCTCATACTCATACTTACATACAAATGTACATACACATGTATGTTTGTTTGTGGACCAATACTTATTTTTCATATGTTTTTCTTCAGCTCACTCCATTTAAACACCCTACTACCCTCAACCCTAACAGTATTTTCGCTCTTGTTCGCTTACAGTTTCAGATCGCCACCACCAATCTCATTACTACCGTCACTTCCACTCTCTCTTTGGTTTACTTTCACCCTCCAAGCAACTACATACTTATTTATGCAAGTCCTAATCATCAGCCCTCTTGCGCTTCATTGCCAATCCTTTGTGCTGCGCTCCCATTGTAACAATAACCTAATTTCATAATGTAACGCTGAAGCAAAGAAATGATTGGAAAATTCAGTTGCAAAAAAAAATAAAAGTAAGGGACAGGGGGCGGATGCAACAACTTTCATTGTGTAAAGGACGATTCATTTTCATTTGCAATCGATGGTATGCGACATCAGCTGTACATTCAACGCTGAGTAGCGTCTTTAGCTGTAGGCCTATTTGGCACACATGTGTTTGGGTTTCCATTCTCGCATTTTTCCGCTCCAACTACTCGCTGGTGTTGCCGCTGCGGGTAATCAATGGTAGGTAGTTTTAAGGGTCGTTGGTGAAAAAGTTTACAACAAAAAAAACAAGGATATTGTATTGAGTAATATTGGAGAGTAGTATAGCTCGTATCGATTGCGGGATTATTTGCAAATGTATTTACAGCTGTACTTTTTATTATTAGTCTCGAGTATTATTGTAATGTGCATATGGAAGCATTGCGATAAGTCATGCGTTAACAGAAGTGTAGATAGTGCATACTTATAGAGAAGAAAAGTATACTTTTCATAAACTTAAGTAATACAATTATTTATGGTACAATTTAAAAGGGTAATGCGCTTCATTAATTTATGAAGGCTACAAAGCCAGCTATATGTATACTAATCGAAAGGAATAGAAAGGAAAAGGTTTGTCGAGCGCCGGTGATCGCCTTTTGCTTTAAAGGATCCAGTCACTTGAGTATGGCGGAACGTATGGCTTCCACAGATAGAAATGCTACTATGAGTATAAATGCTTCTTTGAGACTTTCCAAATTGCTTTAGCGAACTTTCTTGCTTCAGTATAATTTCGTGAAGAGTTTCGAACTGTCCCGTGGTGCTTCTATAACGGTCCCTTACTAATCCCAAAATGATCCCGTGAAATATTTCCGAACTAGTTCCAAAAATGATCACGAACTTAATAGTTCCGAAATGTTGTTCGCATAGTCCCTAATGATCGTGAAATAGTTCTCAACTAATCCAGAGGTGGTCCTGAATTATTCCAGAAATGAACCCGAACTAGGCCCTAAATAGCCTTGAACTAGCGTTAAATGGCCCAGGTCTAGTCCCGAAACGATCCTAAAATAGATCCGAAATGGTTCCGAAATCGTCCCTAACAGGTCGCAAAACGGTCCTGAAATAATTCCGAACTAGGCCCGAAATGATCACGAAATAGTACTGAACTGGACCAGAAATAGTCGAAAAAGTCCAAAATGGTCTCTTGTTAGTCTCAAAATTGAACTGCACTAATTGAGATTAATATAATATAAAATATTCCTGAACAAGTAAGTTCCAAACGAACCCGAAACAAGCCCGTAATTATCCCGAAATTGTCCACAACAGGTCCCGAAATAGTCCCGAAATGGTCTTAAACCAATGCTGAACTGGCCCCGAAATGGGTCTAAAAGAGCCCTGCACTATTTCAGAAATATCGTTCTGTAAACACCCAAGAAGCACTTACAGCTTTTTCCCTGGGTTACACAAGCAGCAGTAACAAATTTTCTGCTAGATTAGAGGCAACGAGAAAAGTGCTACCCCGCTGTATGAACATAGATGCATTTGTTTTTCACCCCTGTTTAAATACTCTTTTAGGCATTTCTGTAACGTAAGCCTCTGCTTGAAAGACAGAGTTGCATTTCCTAGGCCCGATTCTTTTAGTCTGCTAATGGATCTTGAAGCCATCGGTGTACTGGATGTGACTATTTCACCCCGGTTGAGGTCGTTTCTCATCCTAACTACATCTGATAGAAAAGAAGACCTTAAAGCTGCATGCAAAGTTATACGCCAGTGAACATCTATCCTTAAAACTGATATTTAGTTCTTCAGTTTGGTGAACTTAAAACAGGGCTACGGGATAGGATCAGGGCTGATTAAGATTCGTATAAGATTTTGAATTAGAGAATAATGGGACGGAGGCATACGAACAGGAAATGATGGTGTTACCTTCAAAAATGATGGCTTAAAGGTGGAACAATAAATTGCCATAAGACATAGACATACTGAAGGAAATGAAATAACCGTAGAGTTGGCTAGCCAAGGATCGGCAATGCAGGCAATATAAGAATCCCATGCGCCCCCCGCATTCTCCTGGTACTAACAGAGGGCATTCATTATGGGAAGACTTGCCTCCAGGTAGAAGTATGCTCACTTCATATACGCCTTTCTAACCTAACCTAATCTTGGCGTCCAATTGTAAGCCGTGTATACTAGCGATCGCCGCACAGTGGTTCAAAATTTGCATTTTGGGTTCACAATTCACTGGAGTCTTCATTTTTCACTCAATTTGATAAATTTTTTTAAAGGAAGCTAATAAGAAATAAGAGACCAATTTTTGTTTATTTGTATTAAATTTTTTAGTACTAAGTGCAGAAAAAATAGCAATTTTGAAGAAAATCGGTTCTGCTATTCCTGTTAATAAATGTTGCTTAATAAAAACTAGTAGAAAACCATTGTAAGGTTACCCAAAAACGAAGAAGAAATTTCACAAGAAAAATTTAAAATTAAAAAAAAAATTCACCAAAATTAAAAAAAAGTTGAGTTTCTAGGAAAATGTTGGGTATGCAGTTTTATGTGTAATTCGCAAGTGGCTAAGAGGTCGCTTTGATTTTTATAATTGTTTTTTTTCTGCTGGCACATCAGAATGCTAACAAAAGCGTTTGCTATATCATTAAAAAATCAACGCGAACTCTTAGCCTTTTGCAATGATATATAAAACTGCAAACCCATTTTCTTTTATAAAAACCATCAAAAAATATTAATTTTTGAGACAATTTTTTGTATAACATTTCAAATTTTTTCTTAATTTTGGGAGAACCCTACAATTGTTTTAGACTGGTTTTTATTATGTAACATTTTTATAACTGCAAAAGGAGAATCGATTTTTTTTCAAAATTGCAACATTTTCTGCATTTTGCTCTAAAAAATTTAATAGAAACAAACAAAAATTCAAAAATCGGGCTCAATTAGTCTCTTTCAAATTTTATTAGCTTTCATTAAAAGAAACAATTAATCAAGTCTAGTGAAAAGTGAAGGCTCCAGTGAACTGTGAACACAAAGTGCCAATTTTGAACCACTGTGCGTCGGTAGATAAGTTTCCAGACTCGCGATGTACATATCGATATGGATATGGATGCTTTAAGCCAAAGGAAAGAAAACTTTGTCACACAGCGTTCCTGCATCGTGAAGCTCTTTAATCTTTGGAAATCATCTGTCCCGAAAAAATCGTGCTAGGAAATCGTCTTCCGCTCAATTTTATCAAGTAAATTGATGTTCCGCTCGAAAATGGGGCTATTGTAGCTTAAGTATGTATGATGTGCTTGCTGTAGTAGGATCATAAATTTGGGGCTGATTGCATACTTCATAGGACTCAAGCGAAATGATGAAAATTAATCTAAAGAATTGCAACCTTGAAAATTTTTTAACTTTTAAAGAATCATGTCATCTATATCGTCAAACGTTTTAAAGGAAAATTTCGACCTAATAGGAAATAACCTAAATTCAGGTACATAGCAGTTCTTGCCAGCTTTGACTAAGTTATAGATCACTGCAAACAATTTATTCTCGGCGTACCTACTTCTCCTTATAGTATTTTAAAACATACATGAATTTTCTTAAAATCAATAATGGAAAGTCAAGAATACGTCTATCGAATCAAGCCCATGATTTAAACTTTAAAATCACCAATAAATGACTTGCATCCTTATTTATAACTATATGTTTACATACAAGTATACATACACATATGAGAAGATTTAAATTTTGAGTACTCACCATCCTCCAGAGTGCGCGCAATACGCGAATTCGATGGCTTTCCCTCGACAGACTTGTAAAAGGGTACAATGAAAAATTCATACAGCGTATATTGCAGCAGGCCACTTAGCGTGCAGGATGAGGCGCCGCCGCCGTTCAGGATCGTTAGCATGCGATATGTGGTGGCAGCGGTAGCGGTGGATGAGGCAGCATTATTGGCGGCCGCATCACGTCTGGCAGCGGCAATATTTGGCTTCGCCGAAATCAATGCGGCCGTCGCAGCGTCAGCTGACGATGACAGCGACGATGACGACGACGACGATGAGCTGCCGCTACGTGAGCCTAGCAATGGATTGGCATTTGAGCTGCTACTCGCCGCTGAGGTGGTGGTAGTTGGTGGATTTGGCAATTGACGCGCGTAGATATAAAAGCCTTCCACGTATTTGCCGTTGATTATCTGTGAAGATAAAAGAATGAAATAGGGATATAAAGCGACAAACAAACAAAAAATTAGGGAACAAGCGCTCGAAAGAAAGTAAAGAGCCAAAGAAGCAAAAGAAAAATTTGTAATTTAAATCGGTCGGCACTCTATTTCGCTTTCGACCACCTACAGGCAGTTGCCGTGCAAATTGGTTCGCCTTTCACAGGACAATTGAAGACATTGCGCGCCGCTTGATTGCCTTGTCACGCTTCGCAGCTACATTGACATTGACATCCTTGCATTAAGGCGACGGCAAAAAAAAAGCGATACCAGGAAATGTAAGGATCGTTAGCACTAACCTGCCACGTCAATTTCATGCTTGTCGAATCCACAATGCTCGCGTTAATTAGTTCCACTACATCGCCGGATAGCAGGCTGGCGCGCGCCTCACTCAAATCCAAGCCGCTATTGAAGAAACGCTGCGAAAAAAGAAAATACCAAAACTATTAGCTTCGCATAGTCCAGTCACTATTCTGTCTCGCGCGCACTTACCATGCCTACATTGATCGGCTCCGACATCGGACTGGGTAAAGATAAACCGTGCGAGTTCTCAGCGCGTACCACAAAAAAGTAGTTCACGCCCGTCACGAGCCCCACCTGCATGAATGTTGTATTCTGTATGCGCGCACCTACCGCCACCCAACCGTCTGTCTCATTCTTGCCAAACATCTCAACGACATAGCCAACCAAGCTCGATGCGCCCACCTTATTGCTGCGCGTCCACGACAATGTGACTGTGTCTTCGGTCTTCTCCACCACCTGCGGCTTACCCGGCGGACCTGGGTGCGTGGAAAGTTCGGGCGCGCGATAGAATTTAATATTCGGATTAGTGGGCGTATCCAAGCGTAGATAACCGCTCCACGATGATTTGCCATTTCGATTGCTAGCCACGCAAGTGTACAGGCCCTCATCCTCATTGCGCTGCAGATCGGCTATTGTAAGTGTGCCTGTTTCGGAGAGATTACGCCGCTCATGCTCATTCACATCGATAGGTATGCCATCCAGGTACCACGAGACTTGTGGTGTTGGCGTGCCGCTGGTGCGACACGGCAGCATTACAATCGATTTCACCGGCAGCGTTTGATTGACGGGACCCAACTCAATTATCGGTGGTGGCAGCTCAAATTGTGTGTCTACGGTAACAACGGTACGACTGCTGACGCTGCCAACCGCATTCAGTGCATTGCAAACGACCACCTTGCCGGAATCTTCGCGTGCGAAACGCAATATCGACAACACAGAGCGACCTTCGGGTGTTAGTGTGACCTCAATGCGTCCATCTTTGTAGCCGGGTAAGAGCAGCGAACTGTTACCCTCCACTGACCAGTAGAGGGTGGGTTTTGGATAGCCGTTAGCTTGACATTCGAAGAGCACTTCATCACCGACTTCGACGAGTTGATTTTTGGGGCGAATGTTGAACTTTGGTGGCGCTGTTGGAGAGAGTGGGTAAATAAAAAATAAGTTGATGTGCATGAGAAATGTTAAGTAGTGTGTAGAAGAGGAGAGTAAAGCAAATAAGTTGTTATTAGCGGTAAATGTTATTGCAAATCATTGAGAAATGCTTGCTAAGTGTTCTTCTGTTTTTGAAATGGCGCTGAAGTGCGGTCAGGTAATTAATTTTTATGTTGCCGATGGTGTGGGTGCCAATGAACTAAAGGGTGTTTATTTCAGTGTTCTTGTTCTGAGTTGAACATTTGCAATTGCATTGAAATTTTCTCAGTGGCGTAGCAATAATCGACTACCATTTCGAATTTATACGTAAACTCCTAATCGAGCCCGAATCTTAGTTGTTGTCAAATTTTTGCCTGTAAAATCAAACATGAAGTAATTTTTTTTCCTCCCAGAAAGTCCAATAAAATCCCCGACATAACCCAGTGTAAAATTTTTGGCCACATCTGTATATGGTTGCTTCAAGCAGGGGCACACTGGAACCATAAGCATCAGCCCTTTTTGGATACAACGCTAACGGTAGCTGTTAAGGTTTAACGAAGACCACTGTGTGCCAAAAATATAGCCGAGCCAAGAGAGCTTCTAGATAAAAAGCGGGATACAAGATGTTTAAAAAAAGTTTTGAGATTCCTCCGCTTCATCGCCCCGCAACTGCTAACAGTGCTGTTAAAGAGCAAGCAGTATATGAATTTAACTATATCGGCTTCGACCCCGTGCTCATCAAGGGATCTGACGATGGCACCAGAAAGGACATTGTTGAAAAAATTAATTAAAAGAGAAGGTGTTAGCGATATTCTGTTTGTCTTTTTGCAATAAGTTTTATATTCTTCCTTTTAAGACAACAAAATCTTGGAATTAAACAAAAGTTTGTTAAAAATAAAATAACGTTAAAAAAGGAAAAAATATGTTCCAAATAATTGAGTAAATTAATAAAATATTTTTGTTAAAAAATAAATAAAAAATTTAAAGAAATATTAATTAAAAATAAAATTGAAATTAAAAATGGTATAAAATAAGTTTATCAAAATCAACGGAAATTAAAACAAACTGTCTTTCTTTTTATGACAATATCTAAAACTAAAAAATAATTAATGAAAAAAAATATTAAGAAAACCAAAAGAAAAAAGTTAAAAAAAAAAACAAAAATAAGTAAAAAGCAAAAATTAAAAAATAGAGAAGTTCTTAAAACTTGAATGAAATTAAAAAAAAATATTTTTAAAACAAAATCTTAAAATTAAAAAGAAGTGTAATTAAAGAGAAAAAAATAAATTAAAAAATAAGTTTCTAAAAATTAAACGAAATTAAAAAAAATGTTTTTTAGAAAAATTAAATCAAATTAAAAAGGAAAAAATAATTAAATAAAAAAAAGAAAAATGATATGTTAGTTCTCTAAATTAAATTAAATTAAAAAAAATATATTTTTTTTTTAATTAAATTTATTTAAAAAAGAAAAAAATTAATTTATAAAATATGTACATAAAATAAGTCTCCTAAAATTAAGTGAAACTAAAAAAGGAAAAGAATCATAATTTATAAAATACATAAAACAAGTTTCTGAAAATTTACCGAAATTACAATTTTTTTTTTTAAATAAGATCTTAAAATTAAAAGAAAATGTAATTAAACAAGACAAAAAATTAAATTAAAAGATTAAAGTTTCTAAAAATTAAAAAAAAAATAAACAAAAATTTGTCTTTTTAAAAATTCAATAAGACAGATAAATTAAAACAAGTAATTTTTAGCAAAAAAACCGACTTCAATTCTCATATAAAAAAAATATGTATATATATATATATATCTCATGATCCAATGATCGGATCTAAACCGGATTAGTATGGGAGACACTAGCTTTCCGATGCAAAAAGAATTATCGAAATCGGTTGACGTGGTCCAAAGTTATGCGGTAACATACATAAAAAAAAAAAAACAAAAAAAAATATTCCGACGAACTGATAACCTCCTCCTTTTTTGGAAGTCGGTTAAAAAAAGAAAGAAAATGTGTAAGTTCTATAAATTAAATTAAATAAAAAAAATATTTTTTCTTTTTGGAAGACCAACAGTCATTTATGAAAGTTTTTCTTTTTTGTGCGCAAAGAGGGCTCGACTGATCTGGCAATGGACGTTAGCATCAAATAAAACATATATGTAGTGTATAGAGTGTGCATGCATGCGGAATATCTGTGGCAGCTATTTTGTAATTTTTGAAACTTAACGATTTTCTAAATTTTAATTACTTAAGATACAAAATGTTAAAATTAATCGGCGAAAATGTTCTACTTGCCGAAACAAACGAATCTAGTGTAATAAAACTATTGTGCCACCAAATGAAAAGAGATTACATTGAGTAAAAGATGACTATTGGCGTTTTAGTTTCTACCGAAAAATGTTACCTTCTCTTTGCCCTCTACGCGCTAATACTAAGAAGAGGGCAATGAGAAGGCAAAATTTTTTGTAGAAACGAGAACGCCATATGATTTGAGAATCTAAAATTCCATTTTTACAATTATTATTGGCAAACTCTAAATTCATTCTAAAATTTGTATATATTTATGTATATGAAGAAAGTAATATATATGTGCATAAGGAATACTGTGTAAAAATCTTCCACGTCAATATTTAATTACTTTTAAATTATATGACTTTTAAGTTAAGTCGTGCAGAGTAAACGTGTTAGCTGATTGTATATGATGCTACGGGGCGTATACGTTATATATGTACACAACTGCGCATATACAGTATCGGTCATATCTATAGCACGCCATTTCAAAGTGATATTGTGTGCAACTTATGTTTATTTATTTATTTTTGAGAATTTTCAATTAAAATACAGTTCTTTCTCTAACAAACCCCATATAAACCCAAGTTTAACAATTTGTAGAAAACTTCAAAAAAGTGCAACAAATTTTCACCTAAATTTCAAACTTTTTTCTCAGAAGTGTGGTCCCATACTAATTTGGTATAGATCCGATCATTGAATCATGAAATATATAGATATATATATATTTTTGTAAGTCGGTTTTTTTTTGCTAAAAACTACTTGTATAGTATATCTTTTTTAAGTTTTCATTAAAATACAATTTCGCGATAGATAATTGTTCTTTATGCAAAACTGCAGATAATGCTTTTTCTAAGATAAGTGTGCAACCATTTTCGAAAAAACGCGTTTTTGTCCACAAATGTAACAACTAGTGAAACCTAAGCATATATGTATTTAACTATTTAGTTTCTTAGCTTCAATATTAATTTTTCAATTTTGTTTAGGAGTCTCGACTTTCTGATAGTTTAATCGGTATGTAAAATCGCCAACCTTACGTTTTCAACATTAAGCTTATGATGTTATGAAACTTATCTCGAACTAAAAAAGTGCTCTCCTTTTTATCTTTCATGTCTCACTTGTCTAATCCTAGCTTGAAATCTCATTATAAATTTGTGTAAGAGCACCAAGCATCCATACAACTTCAACTTTGACAACCAAATCTGCGGTCAAAACTTTGGCACCCTTTACATACTTACTTACCATGCCATCAGACAAATACTTGATTCTGCTCACCTTGCCAGCACGCGCTGTGCAAATACACTTCAAATGAGCCATAAAACTTTTATGTGCTTGGACATACACAAGCGCAAGTTTTCGTAGACATATATGAGTGCATATGTATGGACATTTAGCTACATGTGAGTATACGTATGTATGTGTATGGGTAAATATAAAACCAACCATAGCACCATTGTTGTCTACGCATCTATGTGGCATTGTCAGAAAGTTCCGTATGAAAGCACACTTTCACACACAAACGAAGGCACATAGCCATGCATCAACAGTGATAGCAATTAACTCACCGTGAACGGTTAGTGTGCCCGTGGCTGTAATTGAACCGACCGCATTATCCGCTTCGCAACTGTACTCGCCCATATCCTCCAGCGTAACGTCGTCCAATTTAAGGCTACGATCTTCAAGGATGTGCACACGACCTGTGAAAAAAATAAGTGAGCAGAAAAAAGAAAACCGTAAATGAAATTGGTGGAGTGTGGCAAAAGAAAATTAAAGTTCAAGTGGTGGCCAAACAAAGCGAAGTGAGGCGTAAATTGTTTAAGAAGTGTACAAACATATGTGAGAGTGTATAAATATATGTATGTATATCATAGAGAAAATCTTGTGCATAAAGGTGAAAAATGTTCGCAACCGAAGCTCATTCTCTTCTTAAGTGGCTCTGCGGAAAAAGTTTCACCAAATTTTTGTGGACAAAGAAAATTGTTGCTCATCGCAGTGCACTAAATTGTGGAGAATAGCAGCAATGATAATCATTGTTAGCGTTATTGCCGCTGTCGCTGCCGCCGCCGTCGAAACACTGCTGCGACCAACTTATTTGTATTTTTCTAGCTACTGGCTGTATTTTTCGCTTAATCCAAAACTTGCGAAACATTTTCTTCTCCCCGCCTCTCTACCCAACGAACAAGAAGATGTTCTAAACAACTCAGCTGCGTACCATATACATAGTTATCCCACGAACAGTTAGTTTTTAGTGGCATATTGTTATGCGCTAAACAAGCGCAAGGACACAGCAATCACGTATACGCCCGGGTGCACTCTTGTTGGAGCGGACGCAATGCAAAGGCGCTTAAAGAGGCAATGGAAGGAGTACTCGGAACATACACATATGCACATTTATATGTGCCTGTGTATGTATACATTTGCATGTATATCTATTTATAGTGTAAGATAGTGTAATATCCCTGTAGGGAAACCGCGGACTAGTGAATCAAATTTCTAGTTCCATACTAGGTCGCCAAAAAGGAACTTGTCCGATGGGAACTAGATCCCCACCAGTCGAAAATCGGCGAAAAGTGGTACTTTTAAAAGACTAATTTTTCAGTTTTTTTGACTAGAAATCTATATCTAAAGTGACGAATTTAGAAATGGTTCGGAACTATAGAAAAACGGATGCAGAACGAACTAGATCTTATTTGTCAAATTTAGAACCAGTTCGGAACTATCGAATAAGGGATGCAGCGGAGGGCTTGTTTACTTTACATAGATATGTGTTCAGCGGCTTTTTCGTTCAAATACGCTTCTATTCTGTGCTTCGCAGATGCTTTTTCATAGCTTGCTAATACAAAACTAAAATTTGTGTTAACATTTCAACATCTTGGGACAGTCTGAAATCTAATAAATAACAGAGAGCACCTCTGCAAACTCAGCTACAGCTAAAGGTATGTAAACGTACATTTCTTACAATCATTAAAACAAATTTAATTTCAAATTGAAAACACATTTCATCCAAAACAACTTAAGATCGCACACACGGAAGAACCAAAAAGATTGAAAAATCATGACACTTTTTTCTTTCGTCTGCCGATTTTAGAACTGGTTCGGAACTATAGAATTTCGGCTAGTTCGGAACTATCGAAAAAGGGATGCAGCGGGGGCAATTGACACTTCCTAGGACATCGCCATGTTAAATTCGCCAGTTGCTTGCATGCAAAAGAGATTTATCGCGAACCAGTACTGGGTCTAAATGTACTAGAAGCGCCCCAGTTCAGAACTAGAGATTTTCCCCACAGGGTAACTTCGCACATTGTTGAGTAGCTCTCCAGTATGTGAGCGTGTTTCGCTGGCTGTCGCAGAGCACTCAATGCAAGCGGAAGGAAACTTTAGTACTTCATATTTTCCTGATATGTAGATGTGTGATTGTGTGAACACGTCACGCTCATTTGATGCATTTGTAATTCATACAAACTTACATATTCATCCTTTATTAGCGGAATATGAATACCATATATACAGTGAGTGTGAGTGCAAAGCGTACATTCAATTTTTTCCATTTTCTTTTAATATTTTATTTGTTCACATAACAACAAAATCCGTACAAATCAAAGTTTCTAAATTCGTTACAATTAAAAAATAATCGTAAAATATTTATCAGAATTTCACATTTTTTATTCAGTATTTTTAGAAGTTTTTTTTGGGTATGCAGTTTTATAGCCCATTCAATTTTAGCGCAACTTCGAAGTGTTTGCATTTTCTTCCATGTAAAAATGGATTTTTTTTTTCATAAAAAAAAATTCGCAACATTATCACAAAAAAAATGGCAAAAATCAACGAACAGCTAAAAAACTGCATACCCAAAAAAAAGCTTTTAAAAGTTCTGAGACAAAAGTGTGAAATTTTTAAGAAAATTTGTCGATGTTACAAAGTTAGAAGCTTTGAGTTTTATGCATTGTGTTATAGTGTGAACTATATTTTTATAAAAAACTTATTAAATTTAAATAAAACAAAATATTTTCAATAAATGGTAAAAGATTTACTGCACAATTTTCACTGAAACTCACCGTACATATTTATGTACATACAACTGAGGGCTCCAAAGTGACACGGGAACTCAGCCAAATAAGAAGGCTGCGAGTGCATATTGCACAAAAAGTAGCATAAGTGTATATCGCACATCCGTTTCAAAAGAGGCGCAACTCATAAATCACACCCGAAAATGTAATTGCTTGGGGATCATACAGATTCAACCACACTGAAAGCTGTCATTGAAAAATTCACTATGAAGGGAAAGTTCTACAACTAAATGATACATACAAATCGATTTCATTTTCACCCAAAATCAAATTTGGAAATAAATTTTTATTTGAAATTTTTATGCAAAATTTAAAATAAAAAATTATTTTATAAATCCAAAATAACAGTTATTTCAGATTCTTTAGTTGAAGTATCAACCTGACGAAGATGTATACATTTAGGCACAGCCGCAGGAAAGTCTGGTGCAGCGACTTTTTTTAATTTTTTCCCTTCCTCGTTCCTTTTTATACCTCGCGAAGTCCGATTTTTTCAAGAATTCGTTATTAATATTTTTACCTCTAAATATCTATATTTTAAGCCCGTTTTGATCATTTTCATTCCACTGCAACCCACCCACTGCATTCAATCCCTCTTATTCGTACCAAGCTCCTTAGCTTTAGCCTGTCACTTCACTTCACACCTGTCCGCCGACATAAATACCGACAGCAGCAAGCAGTTACCAGTTTAAGCTCCTAAAACCACAGCTATGCTAACAATACTTCCTACTTGGCTGACAGCAATAAAATCCCTGGTTTATTTTGAGTCACGTTGCCACTTGCATAGCGCATAGTTATAGTTAGGTTGGTTAGTAGTTCAAGTATTGCAACGTAGACTCGAGTAATGCAAGCAAAGTGGAGTGTTGGATTTCTTCGCTGGCACTTGCAAAGTGGCGAAGAAACGAAAGGAAGTACATAGGTACAGACAGTAGCTAGAAGCCGAGGAACAGCAGAAGGGAACCAAGTTAGTGGTTGGCAGGGCACAGCATCCGAAGAAGGTGTGGTGCGGGTGGCAAGTTAACACTCAAACAAAAACATACATGCATGCATATGTAAGCGTTAGCGGCAATTGCCACGTGTGCTGTGTTGCATTGTTTGTTTGCTGCTCCAAGGGGAGCTTCACGTGCCATTGTGTGTGTGTGTGTGTTTGTGTGAAATACTCGGATTTTAAATGTTTTTGTTGTCTGTGGCAATTGTTTGCTTAACAAAAGTTTACGGAAGCTTTGGCGTTTACATTTGCTTTTGCTACTTCCGCGCCGCTGGAGCGCCACACTGCCATTGCCACAACTACGACCACAGTGTCGCGTCCGGCTCTGGTAAAAGTTTTTCTTGCCGCCACCCTCTCCCAACACGCAAACAAATAAACAAAAGAAGCAACGTGTGTATTTGCTATGTGTATGTAAGTGACACACACACCAGTCTACGCCGCAGCCTCCGCCTCAGCCTCCGCCTCTGCCTCGTTAGCGTTTTGTGGCCCACACAAAAGACACTCAGCCGGCGTTTTCTTATTTGTTTGCATAGGTAAGTGGCTAAGCATGTATGTAAGTGTGCGCATGTGTATGGCTTGCTTTGAGTTATTTTTGTTGTCCAACATTGTTGTGCTTGCGCACATCCTTTTACCCCTAACAATAACCACCTACCTGCCTATTTGGCCACCTTTTTCGTTTTTATTATCTCCTAGCCACCACCTCCGCACTGCGCACTTCACCTGAGCCTCTTCTCAGCTCAGCTCTGCGCTCAGCTTTTAAACCTGGCCAGCCGCATATGTTCGTGCTGATTTTCCACCATTCAAGTGTTGTGCAAGCAAAACCAACAGCACAAATGTTGATTGCTGGCAACAGAGATTGGCAATTAACGGAATTAAAAGTTGCAGTTTGTTTTGTGGTACGTGTACGAGCGGTAGTAAAAGCGGCAGCAGCAGCAGCAGCAGCTATGACAACAACCAACGCAAACAGGAGCAACAACAACGCGCCAGACTGGTACTTTGTTGGACAACAGTCAGCAGCAGCAGCAGCAAAATGACTTTTACACAAAGTGTTCTGCTAGCTGGTAGCACTTTTTCATCATTCTTCCTCTTCATCAGTCATACACTGCAGCCTGCACTACACTCGAAAAGACGTTGACCAAGTGCACTTGCAGTCATTGTGTTTACTGAGAAGAAGGCTGAGCTAGTCGGCTACTAAGAGGGTGCTCAGTGCTACCCACTTGTACACATAATTACATATCCAGTGGCAAACTTAAACACCCAGGTTAAATGCGAGACGATTTTTTGGTCACCCACCACCCACCGATTTGCAGCTCGTCTGATGGACACCAATTTCAAAGACTCATGAAAGTCAAATTGTTGACGAATTGTTTATTTTTCATTTTTTTTTTTGTTAAAATTGGTTAGGAATGCTTGATTGACGCAACTTTGAGGGAATATTGGTAGCGCTGGTAATATATTTGAGGTACTAAGGTATGTTTGTGAAGTTGGCATACGGTAATACAAAAAAAGCTGTTCTGAGTAGCTTTTCAATAGTTCTAGAGTTCCTGAAAAGGGGGAAAAAAGCTATGGATATTTTTCCGAAAAAAAAAAATCAAAAATTGTGTACGCCAGATTCACGCAGCATATGACATGTGACAAAAAGGCAAATAGACAGCAGTTATGATTAGCTTTTGTTTAATAGTTTTAAAGTTCCTGAAAAGGAAAAAAAAGTACTACAAAATTACTTCGAAAGAAAATTTTCAAAAAAGTCGAAAAAGTTGAATTTATGAAAAAAATTTAAATTCAAACTGTTCTGAGTTCCCAGGAACTCTAGAACTATTCAAAAGCTATTCTAAAAAGTTTTAATTTTTATTTTTTTAAAAATTTAGCTTTTTCGGCGTAATTTTGCAGAACTTTCTTTATCCTTATTAGGAACTCTAGAACTATTGAAAATCTATTCAGAACAGTTTTAATTTTAATTTTTTCAAAAATTTAACTTTTTCGAAAATAAGTTTTTTTGGCGTAATTTTGCAGAAACTTCTTCTTTCTTCTCGATAACTCTAGAACAATTAAGAATCTATTTAAAACAGTTTTAATTTTGATAAATTTAAAAAAATTTACTTTTTTGACTTTGGGAAAAAAACAGTTTTTTTTGGCATAATTTTCCAGAACTTTCTTTTTCCTTCCCAGGACTTCTAGAACTATTGGAAATCTACGCAGAAAATGTTTATACCCGAGCGCACTTGTGCACAAGGGTATTATAACTTTGTTCACATAACGGTTGTTTGTATCAGGCAAAACGAATCGAGATAGATATAGACAAATGTATACATAAATGATCAGAATGAAAAGAGAAATCGATTAAGCGGTGACTGTCTGTCCGTCCGTCCGTCCGTCCGTCTGTGCACACCATAACTCGGGTAAAAATTGAGATATCTTAACGAAACTTGGTACGTGCATTTCTTTCGGGCGTAGGACGGGTGGTATGGGTAAAATCGGACAATAACCACGCCTACCTCCCATATAACGATAATTTTCAGAAATACGAAAACTGCGATATTTTAGTAACTACTGAAGATTATTCACTCAGAATTGATATTTACAATAATTTTTAGACAAAAAATAAGAATATTATATATCTTTGGAAAATGGGCGTAGCCACGCCCACTTATGGTTACATGTGTATATCTTGGTAACCGCTGCACCAATTTCTTTCAAACTTGGCATAGTTGTTGGCTTTGGTACAGCATTCTAAATGGCCGAACATTTTTAAGATCGGACAATAACCACGCCCACATCCCATATACAGATAATTTAGAGAAATACGAAATCTTCGATAAATCAAAAGTGATGCTTGAAACATCAATATTTCGAAATTTAAGGACGCTAATTTACACAAAATTGATACACCCCGGCTTACCATCTAGCGGTTGCTTTCGGAAAGGTGAAAAACATATATTTAATACTTGCGCCGGGTATTTAATGTTCGGCTCCGCCCAAACTTGGACTCTCTTACTTGTTTTACTTGCCTTCTTGACTAATGTTGTATGCTGCGTGAATCTGGCATACACAATTTTTTTATTTATTTTTTTTAATATTCAGAACTTTTTTTTCCTTTTCAAGAGCTCTAGAACTATTGAAAAGCTACTCAGAAGAGCATTTTGTCTTTTTGCCTCACACCGTATGCCAACTTCCCAGACATTACTAAAGTACTTACGAATTCTATAAATCGATAAAAAAAAATCTGAAGTCATTTAGGATGTATTTGAAAGTTTCGTCATTGAGAAACTTACGAACTGGTTAGGTAAGTAAGTTCTGAGGAGGAGTACCCGTGCAAAGAGGCTGTGGATACTCCATTGACGTTATGGTCAGCTTTTGAACAGAGGCGAAACAGATTATTTCAAGTGGGTACGAGTTTTATCATGCGAACCTCTCAAGTCCTTCATATCAAAGGCTTTTTAGTTATCACTGTCACTTTCCGATATAAATTCAGGAGGTGAGGCTCCAGATATATTCAAGTCCACACTATTTATGCCAAAGTGTGCTCTATCTCCTCAATAAACTTGCATGTGGCACTTAGCACCTCCTAAAGAAGATTAAACATGTGCATGACGTATACAAGCTTAAACAGACGGCAGCGTTGATCCGCATTAACTCGGACTTAATCCGGATCAACTGCAGTTAATTTCCGAGTTGATCGGGATCAACGCTGGCGTATGTTTATGCTTTAACCTAACGGAGCTTCCGCGCTACGAAGACTGCAAATAAAAGGTCAAGGTTAAGAAAAAGAAGCTAAAGAAGCACATGAACAGATCTTGCGACTTGGATGCCCTCCTTGGCTAGTTTGTCAGCTCTCTCATCGCCTTCCACACCATTGTTTCCTGCGACCCAATATAGGTGGACCGTTTAATCCACAGCTAGCCTTCTTATAGCCTCTATACAGTTCGCGAAGGTGTAAATGTTTATTTTTGCTCACTTTTCACAAGTTCAGCCCAACATCCTCTTGCACGTATACAGTGCTGGCCAGGCCTTCCTCATCCTCCTTTACCTCAAGTTTTCACGACAGTTTGCTTTCCAGTACGATTCCAAGATACTTCGTGTTTTAGTTTGGTTGAAGAGTGGTTTATCGCAATCCGGGATATTGGATTTTCTAGTGAATAGTAGTTTCAAAGTCAGTCTTCTCTACGTTAACGCTTAGTTCCACTTTTGGGGCCGCAATCACTGATGACTTTCAGCGTCTGGTTAACTCTTGAGTGCTCACAGAGTGAATCGGTGACCAGAGCAACGCGTCTTATCTTATGTTCCCAGACAGAAAGGAAGACAAAAACAGGTAGCGAAGGTGAATTCTTTTTTAAATCGAAGTTCACGATTTTAAATTTTCTTTCTTAAGCAATTTGTTTGCTACAACAGCAAATGCTGTACTATATGAGCTTACTGATTATATTAAAGCTCCAGTGATATAAATATCAAATCATAAAATCAGTTAAATGCAGTTGGTGACCGACCTCAAAGCTTGAAGTCAAGCTTGTTGCCTATGCAAAAACGTAGATGTGTATGGGTAATTACATTATTTATTAGGGTGGCCCTTAGAATATCAACATCATAGAGCACACCCATCTTTTGTTCCATGTACGATATAAAAATATCCGCGAAAGTTTCAAAATTAAAAAATTTGGAGTCGCTACCAGGGTGGTTAAAACAATTTTTATTTTTTTTTCAAATCCCAAAAATTTACAAAATTTTTATGTTTTTTTTTTAATCGCAAAAATTTTACAAAATGTTGACTTTGACCCGCTATAACTCAGCGAGTTTATGAGTATGTGCCAATAAGTTTCAATAATGTTAAAATTTCTCAGATTTCAATTAAAAATTTTGTCGAATGTTTGCGGTTAAAAACAAAATTGGAACCCTGGTAGCGACTTTAAACATTTTTTTAAATATTTTTTTAATTTTCTTAGATGTATTTAATTTATACGTAGAAAAAAATAAATGGGTACCTTATACAAAATTTAGATTTCGATATTGTTAAGAACCACCCTAATGTATGCCTTCGATAAGGTGTGAAATCGTCAAAGTACAGATAAAATTGTATACATATATGTACATATATAGTATCTGTATATAAATATGCAAAATAAAGCAAACGGTATGCAGACAAACACTTACGTAATGGCATATTTCCGCCCGAAGCGGTGCGTCGCCACAGGACATCCGGCAATGGATCACCGCCAATGCGACACTGAAAGATAACCGAACTGCCAACGACAGCGGTTTGATTTTGCGGACCGCGTATGAGAAATGGACGAACTGCAATATACGAAAATTAAGAGAAAGAGAATGTGAGAAATTAATTGCTTAGCTTATGCCTTAAAAGCACACATTTTCTTTATTTATAATTAAATTGTTGCTAAATTATTCTCTCTCACAACTTACCATGCACTTTTAGAAAGGCCGTCGCCGATTCACGTGTCCCCACTACATTCTTCACTACACACTGATAACGGCCATCATCCGATTGCCGCGCATCCTGTATGGCCAGATTACCACCATCGACAATGCGTATACGCTTATTGCTACTTAAATTCATTGTTTGACCATTTTTACGCCATGAAATTTGCGGTTCTGGTGAACCACGCGGCGCGCCACACTCCATCAGCGCCACTTCGCCTTGAGCGACGCGCGTATTTTGCGGTTCGAGGCGAAATTCATCGCGAAGAACTGGAAAAGAGTGGAGAGAGTTGGCAATTTATTAGTTAAAAACTTTATTCAACATACTTTGACAAAAATTTAAAATTGCTTATTGGTTTTTTGTCATTGTTATCGATATTTCATTGGTTAAGTTGTTATCGGTATCGTTTTAGTTGTCATATTGGCTATCGATAGTGTTTTAAATATAAATCAGGGACCGTAATGGTTATGATCATTATGATAAAGCTATCTGTGTGCCAAATATCATCTAAATCCGTCAACCCTGCACCGCTAAAAAAAACACGTTCTAACTTGAAAAAAATAAAACGTTATTGCTCGCCCACAGGCCAGGCTCTCTAATTTGACATATAAGTTTTGAAATTCAAAATAACTGCCCGTCCCCATCTTCTTAAATAATTTTAATTTAACAGGTGGCAACTCTCTTCCAAAAAATGCTTTCTGCACATCCCAGCCCAAGCCTTTTAGTATGACACCTCCGTTTTGAAAATAGAACTAGCGGCGCAGATCTGCTGGACTTGATTATAAAATAATTTTAATTTTATTTTTAAGAGGTGGTAACTCTATGCGAAAAATCAAGGCCTCACGGCGCATCTAACACAAAAGCCCTTTGATTGTTAAAAAATTTTAATCAGATTCGATCTCATCCCGTTTTGTCTCATCCCATTCCATCCATCTCATCTTATCTTTTTTCATATCATCTCAACCCATTTTGTCTTATTTTATCTCATTTTATTTCACACCATACAATCTGGTCTCATTTCATCAAAGCCAATGTTATCTTTTATCATATCCGGCCTCATCTCATTTTATCACATCTGATCCGATCACGCCTATACTGATCGTATTCTATCTGATCTGATGTCATATAAACTCAGCTCATTCTAGCTCACTTCATCATCACATCACATCACATCTCATCATGTGATATGATCTGATCATTTCGGGTCTCATTTAATCTCATCTTAGCATATCCCACCGTATTTCACCTAACTTCATCATTATACATCACATCACATAAAATGTCGTCATGTGATATAAAATAATCTTTTTTGATCTCATTTAATTTCATCTTATCGCATTTTTTACCGCATTTATTAAATTTCTAACTTTAAATTTCAAACCAAATCATTCGATTTATCAACCCTTTAATTATAAATTTATTATTTATTTATCTCTTCCCTGCGAAGTATTCTCCACCTCCTCCATCGGCTCGCCCATTATTAGTTCTCATTAAAATTGCAATAACATTTATGCTTCGCTTTGTATACTACTTTACTATGGCTTCTTTGATCCTTCCTAATGAGGCACAGCATGCAAATAATACGCTGAGCTTTACAAAGCTACATAAATCTTTCAAAGCAATGCTAACAGCCTGCTTTTCAGCTTGTCTACCTGCTGACTTGTTTATACGAATGTATTTGTGTAAACAACTAAACATACAATACCAACAAAAACAGCAATACAACCGGCGAATATCCTCATTGACAAGCTTTATTGGCGCTATTTGCCATTTCAGCATTTGCATTTCGAAGTATTAAACTATCCGCTGCATAGCAGTCATTATTATTAGTTTGAAATAACTGATTGCGAGAAGATCTGAAGGCGTACATAAAATATGTATTACAAATATAGAAATTATCAATCAATTTATGTTTCCATGACAGTTAAAGAAAATTAAATTTTATGTATTCGTACCTTGATTGAATGACTAGGAAACGTAGGATAAAAGAAAATCTTCTAAAAGGAAAATGAAGAAGTTTTATTTTCGCATAGTGATTTGTTAGCAAATATTTGCATTTAAAAGGAGCTTTAAATATTTGAAGGCAAAATATTTCCAAAAAGCGAAGCAAATAATTTAATCTTAAAACTAAATACGCCCTCTTTAATACTTTTGTAACTGAATTTCTAGCTAATTAGCCTTATTTAGCACAAAGAGTACACAACTTATAACTTCAGCCAGTATAACTATAAAAACATCCTTTAAACTACTTTTTTTTAATATTTTCTTATTCTTTATCTTCAACTTACATGCAACTTGTAGCGTAGCATTGCGCGAACGTGCCACACCGAATTCATTTTTTGCCACACACCAGTACGTGCCCGCATCACTTTCCCGACGTGAGTGGATCACCTGAAAATGAGAAAAAGTGTAGGAAAATTAATAAATTTTGTTGCAAGTGTAAAATTTCATTATGATAATTGCACTAGTGAAATATTTTGCAAGGAAAGTTATAATTTCTATGAATTTCTGGTACTTTAGAAATTTTTTTCGTTTGTAATTTGAAAAAGGATATAGTCTCCACCACACATCCTCTCAATCTGGAGAATAAACTCGATACACGTGTTTCTTCTAAGAACCACTAAGAAGCCGATTTCATCCATGGCATGGCCGCAAAGAGCGCCCTCAGGCTCAGAGAGGCTAATACGCGGAAGGCAATCAATTTCGAGCATGCAGCAATACTGAATGAAATAAAATTGGGCCGGCTCAAGAAAATTACCGCTGACATAAAATCCACCACTGATTACATTTCATCTGCTGGGGACTTCAATACCAATGTACCTACTTATTACTTCTGTTCCCGACCAGAGAAGAATGGAATGCTGTACTGATAGTAGCAGAGGGAGGGATATCCATCAACACTGACGTTTCGAAGATGGAACAAGGGTCCGGAGCCGGTGTCTACTCGAAGTACCTCCAGATCAACCGGTACTTTCGTCTACCGAACGACTGCAGTGTCTTCCAAGTGGATATCTACGCTACAGAGCGGGCGGCTATTCCTTTACTTAGTAGTAGGGTTCCAGAAGACAAAGCCCCTACCTTTGTCGACAGTCAGGCAGCACTGAAGGATATAGGATCTAAAATAGTGATATCGGGAATTGTATGGAAATGTTGCACCACGCTGGTGTCACCGAGTCGTATCAACGTCACTCTATGCTAGGTCCCCGCTCATAGCAATATTGAAGGAAATGAGTCGACTGATGAGATGGCCAGATGAGATGATAAGCTCCGTACTACAAACGTTTAGTAACCACGTTAGGGAAATTGATGAATACGCCGTGGCCGTGACTAATAACTTGTGGAACAAACGGGATGACGAATACTTCAACGGTGGCGACTACCAAAAAATACTCCCTGTAGCAGTTGCCGTGATGAGGATGAGGAAGAGTCAATTGACCTCTTTCGGTGTCGATGTCCAGGTCTGGGTTGACGTTTCTTCAACAGTCTGGGCGAGATAGCGGAGGTGGAACTGTTCGGCTTCATTATGTATAGTAATTTGTTCAGTAGAATAATCCCTTGAAACTAATCTTAAGGATTATAGGTAAGTGACCCCTTCTAATGCTCGCTTAAAGAGGACACTTACAATGGCCAATTCTATCTCCGAGTGAAAGTGTGGAAGATTCCACACACACTCACCTATTCTAATCTAGCCTAAGAAGCCGATTCGGTTTTCGACCTTCAAGTTAACTCTATCATTGCTCAAATATAGCGTTCACGTACGTTGCCATTCGTGGCTATGGGTTGCCTGCCACTGCTTTAGAACCATGTATTGAATCTAAAAGTACGACTTAAACTTCACTCGAAACACCTATCTTTAAATCCTTTATTTATACTGCCGGACCAATGTAGATATTTTTATCCAGAACTCGCTATTTTATCAAGATACTCTTCCCTAGACCTGCCTTCGGGTACTATCAACTCTGATATTCAGGTAACTAGACTACTGAGAAACTTCGTCGACAGTGGCGATCAAAAGCATGCCACAGCCTACATAAAACCCTGCAAATAAAGGCTTGAATCAATCATACTTTTTCAAGCTGGAAAATAAGAGATAGTCTATAGCATCCACCTATACGACGACACAACAAATTTTTCCCTCTGCTTCGCCAGGAAAAGGTTCGACTCAATCAATGTCCTCTACTTAGGCAAGTGAGCTGAACTATAAGTTGCCACGTATTAATGGGAAGGCATGCTAGAAAAATGGACCTACCAGCAAATGACTTATTCACCTTTGTCTCGCGGACCCCAAAATTTGTGGCGGTTAATCAATGCAAACAATTGCTTACTATTTGTAGGTGAGCAGGCTGAAATCAAACGAGCTCTGAAATGAGCCAAAATGGGCCAAGTGAGCCTTAGTTTGCCTCTCTCTTTTACGGATTGCAGGTAGCCACTTCAACCTATCCATTTTCTAAAGTTCGTTCTATTATGACCAATTTTAAGCTTAAGTAAAATAAAAATTGATAGAATCGGTCAGAAAAAATAAAATAAAGAATCTCAGCGCTTCTGAACTGAGAAAGCTACCATCGAAAAGCTTCTCCCGGGATATGTTTTGGTCGTGACTAAAATAAAATCGAAAGCAAAACTCGGCACGCAACGGAAAGCTAAGAGCATTAAAGTTCAGACTGTATTGCTAGGAACTGATTAAAAAAAAATCAAGTAAGTTAATTTTGATCGCTTGTACCTGAAATAGTGACGATCAGAGCGAGGTTTTACTCTATGCATATCCATGAAAAATCGTTCGAAAAGCTTGTCTATCAAAATAAGCTTTACTCGTGGCTGGCCCAAAACAGCGAAGCTTTAAAAGTTAGTCTATCGAAATAAGCTTTCTTCGCGACTGGCCCAAAACAACGAATAGCAGAGAAATATATTACTCTGGCAGTCACTATCAAGATTCATTTAATAGCTTTCTGTGGATTATATATTGACGAGCAAAGATTAAAAGCTCCCTCTTAACATAACTTGTTAACAGAGAGTTATAAAAAGCTTTGCTTTGCTGACTGTTTTTGACAGCTAGATACTGATTTTTCTAAAATTGTCAAACTAAACATTACTATAGCAGAGCTTTTAGCAAAGCTTAATATCAAGAGCATTTTATTTAACCGAGCTTTTGATTAAAAGTTTGCTTCGGAAATTAGAAATAAAATAAACTTTTCGAAAAGGAAAAGTTCGATAAGATAGTTATTTTCCTTTCAATTGAAAGCAACGCAAGACACTGACCACTTAAGAGTTTCACTGATTTTAGCTTTGCAAACTTACTTTGAAACATAACTATCTACAGCATTCAAATTATCATATTTTTTCAAATGCAAAATGCTCTATTGTCTAACTGAACAAGCTTTTACTCACAGTTGGCCACTTCATAGGCATGCGTGCCAAAGCTTTCAAAAGCTCTCTGTACAATTTATATAGGGCAGGCACAAAATGAAAGCTCTCGCTGGCCAACTCTGCTTTAGCTAAACAAGATTTCACGAAATCTTTCACCAGAAGCTCTATTTTAGCTTTTATACATCCCAAAGAAAAGTTATTGCCCACCTTCATCTTTCAATTTGCTCTTTCTTGCTTATTTTAATTCCTTAAAGAGTTCATACTAAATCATAAGAAGCTTTCAATTTCAGCTAATTACTGTTAGCTAACAACAAAAACTTAATAAATCTCCACAAAAAACCCTGCGTTAAATTTAAGATTTCATTTCAAAGTATTCTATCAGTAGTCTACACACTTTTCTACTACTCTATTTTGGAATTTCTGTCTTGAGTTGAATTTTCGAAATTAAATATGCAGCACGTGCGCGTCAAAATTTTTACAAGTTTCCAAGATCAAAGTGAAAATTTCAAATATTGCAAAATCTCTGTCTGCTTTCTAAACTCCAAATCACAACAGTCACTGCTAAGGCAGGACAATAGGCAAGCAACAGCAGCAAAAATACAAAATCCAACAAACACTCCTACGCGTGTATAAACATTTAACAAGAACCGAAGAAGAATCAACCCTGGCGGGCAACAAACAATGTGGCACAAAAGTAACAAGAACGCCAACACATAAAAACACATTGTCCGACTTCATTTAATTTAATTAAAAATGTTACGCAAGTACGTTATCTCGAGCAGCATCTACTCTACTCGTATCTAGTGTTAGAAGTTGATTTTTTTTTGCACTGCGTTTCGCTGTTTGAGGGGTTAAACTCGCTTCAAAGTATAGAAAAAGATCTACAACAAACGCAAAACGAAGCAACAACAAACAAAAAATGACATAGGAATTTGTTGTTTTTGTTGTTCACTCGAGTTAATTGACAAGAGTGTCCGCCTTTGCCATTGAGTTGAAGAAGGAGCCAAAAATTACACAGCCATCATACGTTGGTAATACATTTCTGCTATAGAAATGCTCAGCGCGAACAACAAAAGTAGCAAAAAGCTTGTAAATACAAATGTAAAAGTTACAAAGTCAACATTTTGCAAGTTGAATGAGTTTTAATGCGTTCGACCCTCAGCGTAAATTGTGAAAAAGAGGAGGAGAAGGGGATGGAGGCAACACACCACACTATAATTTGTAGCTAAACGGCGTAAGCATAGAAATTTGAGGCAGTTAGCGGGTGCCAACGCTAACCCCCCACTGCTTGGCTGGACGACATGGTCGTATCGGGTAGAGAGATTCGGATGCGTGGTTGTATCCCTTGAAGTGCTATTGAGTGCTCACATTGAAGTCCCGCGTTGCCGTTTGATGAATGTTTGAAGCGATTAACTTTTTATTTTATTAATTTTTTTTTTTCGCCTTTTTGCTGAAGGGTGCTGCAGGACAACGCGTCCTCTTATAACGACAGGATGTGCCTTTGTGGTAGGTTTGACGCTTTTCAAAAAGATATGTTTATATTTTGCAATAATTGTTCCAAATGAATAAAAATTGAGCAGTCGCGCGGAAAATATTTTATTTATTTATTTTTTTGTTTTGCTTGCATCAGTGAAGCGATAAATACTGAAAATGCCTACCTAAGTGCTAGGGATACATTTTGTAGAGGAAGATTACGGGACTGTGAAAGTATCTGTGGACCATTGGAAAAAACGGCGGAGGATTAGGAGAAGGGTGAATTTAATCAAGAGAAGAGCAAATGAATTTCCATATCCCTCAAACCGGGTTCCCAGTTTTTGCACCATATTCTGTAGCGGGGAACTGGTAAATTGATCCAGGACGCATATTCTCTTAATACAGCTGATGTTGGGAAGCTATCAATAAGGATATTAATTAGAAATACTATTTCATTGGTCCTAAAACGCTAAATTAAGATGCAATTATTAAAATTCCCCTAAGACTACCAGTTGCATCTGTCCCAAGTGTGAGAAGACCTTTCAAGTCAAATTTAAATATCAAGGGGGATATCTATATATATATGTAATACAGATTAGGAGACATTGGCGCCTAGTCGAGCATTCAGCTGAAATGGATGGCACATACAAGAAAAATGTCTCCTAGAACCGCGGACTTTAAAGCTTTAACATAAAGTAAACGCTCTCTGTACATCACTGATGTAGATCATACACGGCCACAGCACATTAAGTGAGAGAAGATTTTAAAAGCTTTCTGCAGATTTTATATGGTTGCGAATAGAGTAAACCCTTCTATAGATGTCGCCGATATACATATACAGAAGCTATATTACTAACGTAAGTATTTATATCGGTGATCATCCATTAAGCACCCGCGCGTGAAAATCTTTAAAGCTCTCTGTAGATCTTATTTGGGCGCGCATAGAGTCAAAACTAACCCTGATCGTCACGAATTTGGATTTACATCAGAGCTTTTACTCTGCATGCGCCTGTAGAAAAATGTATAGAAAGCTTAAAAGAGCTATACCCGCGGGCAAGGCGATGCTCATCACCGATTTGCATATACACACTTTTACCTGGCGGTACCTCTTTGTTGAGGTTATAAAACGGTTTACGAATCAATTCTACCAAAGACATTTTTGAAACATTTTTTTTGTAAGGCAATTGAAAGACAGTAGGTAAGATAATTGACAGGATTTTGCTTATTCTGGCAGGAAAGTCATACATACTACATCATTTTTTTCATAACATTTTTTTCTTCTTTTAATTACATTTTCTTCAATTTTATATATTTTATTGTTTAAAAATAAAATAATATTTTTTTAATTAAATTATTTTTTCAAATTTCATTATTTTTTTTTCTTTTTAGATTTTATTGTTTTTAAAAATAATTCAATTTTGTTTAGTTTTAATGATTTTTTTTTATTTTTATTTGGTGTTTTTTAAAGGGCATTCTGAAGAAAGTGTTTAGATTTTATTGCTTTAAAAATTATATATTTTAATTTCATTAAATTTTTGGGAACTTATTTTAATTGTTTTTTTCTTTTTTAATGCTTGTTGTTAATTTATAGAATTGCTCAATTTAGAGAAAACTATTTTTTTTTAATTCATTAAAACTTTATAAACTTTCTTCTTTGTTATTTAATTTTATTTGCTTCAATTGAATTTCCATTTCATTTTAGTTTATGCTCTTTTTAAAAGAAAATATATATATTTTTTTTATTTTTAAAAAACTTATTGCTAAAAGCCAAACCGAATAACGCTAAAACAGATATCGAACGCCTTGAAATTTTTGCAAATTCGTACATTTTGACAATTGCAGAGAGGGGTTGTTTGGACTTTTTATTATTGAGCTGAACTCGTTCTCGATTAAAATTTCTTGACAACACAACTCTGTGACTGCCAAAATTAACAAATCGTGTTATCCCTACCTAATATCTGCTCGTTAGCAGAAGTTGCAATCAGACTTCCGAAAAGCAGAAAAGAGCATTCAGGAAAATGGAAAATTTTTGTTTTTGCTTAAATTAAATTGGTTATTTTATTGTGGTATGCAGTATGATTTAAATTTTTTTTTTGCAAAATATTCTACTAAAAATTTGATTGTGTAATAACATCATAAAGAGGAAGTAAAACATTTTATTGAATAATTTTCCAAAAATTGTATGCTATCAAAAAAAATTTTAAAATAGTAAGGTATTTATTTTAAGTCACAGCAGTTTTCTTGCAACTTATTTCTGCAATAAAAAGCACATTCAAAATCCGGAATTTATCTAAAACATGTTGTAGCAAGAATTTCCTTAAATTTGTGCATTTGTTAAAAATTTAAAATTATTATTATTTTTTTTGTTCAATTTTCTGTTTGCTTTAAATATTTTAAATTATTGAAAAACTGTGTTAGCTTATACTTCGGCCGCATGTCGATTTTCCCAAAAATTGCTTTTTAAGAAAGCTCTTAAAATAGAAATTAATTAACATATTCACAATTTTATGCAAACATACGCTTCAACGAGTATATTGAATAAATAATTTGAATATCAAAAGCATAAATATTGAATTTACAGATAGGCCAGCAGCGAAGGAGCCGAGTACTTCTTACTTGCAGTACTTCCAGCATTAAACTATATAAATGTGTATGTACACTTAGAGATGTGCAGATATATGTACATATGTACATATGTATGTATATATTTTGTGTTAACGACATTTATGGCTGACATTTATGCGAAAATAAAATTTACATCTACAATGCAATATCACTGCTTAACATCCAAGTACAGCAAATGTTAATGTGTGTGAACAACGGTCTCTTTGTTTCCACTACTACGCTACTACGCTTATCGCCCGTTCTTCATATACGGTCTTATATACAAAGCTATTTATATATACATATATTTATTTCCACACTCACCTTCAGAAAGAACAAACCGCCAGCTGGCAACATTATCCGATGTGAACCCGTATCAGTTTTCAATTCATGACCATCTTTGAACCATTGTATGGCTGGCGTTGGATCACCTTCGGCCTTACAATTGAATGTGAAGGGATCATTTTTTGGCACTGTCATATCCATAGGATGTTCGATAATGCGCGGATTATCGCCTGAAATGGGAGTGAATTGAAAAGGGAGAATGAAGGAAATGAATTAATTTGTGTTATACTCGTAGCAATAAAAATGTCAATAACTTTCAACTTTAGATGAGGAAAAAATTTACATTTGCAAAATACTTAAATTATAATAATTGAGATGCATAACATTTATGTTACGACAGCAATTTATTCAAGGAATTTTGTATATTTAGTTCAAAAAAAAATTGCTTAAAATCATTTTTAATACTCTTCTTGTATGCAAATGGAATTTTATTTGCCGCAGGTCACAAGCAATTGCGCAGCATAATCTTGTTTTTTTTATCATTTTATTTGAAGTATCCTCGAGCAGCTCGCATACAAACTATCTGACTTCTCCAAACTGCCTTGTTAGTAATTTAGGCGCATAAAATATTCTAAAAATGCCAAACAATATCGTAAATTATGTTGCTTTCGCTTGAACTTCATCATTTATAAATAAATGTGGGAGTATTTGCCTACATACATTCCTTTCATCGTGCTTAGGACATATTAATACAAATAACCGCATAATAAAAATATAAATTAAAAACACAAAAAAATTGAGCGAATTAAAAAATCGTGTGTGACAAATTCGAATATCTCGATAACGAAAACAGCTAGCGAATAGCGTTTTCAAACTTTTAAGATATAGAATTCAGGAAAAATAGTTTCGTTGGATAAAAAATTTCCTTGACTTTTGAACTGACCTTCAAAGTTGGGGGGTTTTCAATATTTTTCCTTTTTTTACCTGAAAACAGTATTTATGCAGTGAACTTTTAAAAAAAGTTTTAACCACACATTTTTGTTAATCTTGCATCAAGAAATCCATTTCCATGGTCGAAGGAACTGAAAAACGCATGCTGTTTTTAGGTAAAAAAATACAAATTTTAACTTTTGAAGGTAATTTTTAATTCAATGTGACCTTAAAAAATATTTTTTTTTATTTTATGGCCTAATTAATAATTTTTATTATTTTTTTTTATTAAATATCTGTAGTACATTCAACAGCAAAAACCACAATAATCAATATATTTCTATTTTATACCAAACTCGGAAAAATGCTAAAACTACCAAGAAATTTTCATCGAAATTTAAAATTTTTCAATTCCATTTCTTAGAAAAATTTGGCGAAAGCACTTTGTAGTCCATTAAGGTACAAGTTTCAAGTAGTTAAAAGTTACTATTTTTTTCTAATTTTATTACTTTTTTTTAATTATTGAAGAGTAGGAAATGTCCAATGACCATTGCGCGCTGTCAAAGGAGCTTTTTATGTCTGCAAACTCACAGCTCTCAATTTTGTTGGGAGTTGTGAAAAGTCACTACGCAATCAGAATTGATGCGGTTGGACCAAAAATTGCAAAGAATCCTTGCTGCCGCGGTATCCTGGTGGATGATGAGCGAGACTTTGAGCACTCTATTGTTAAAAAAGAAATAATTTATTATAGCAAATACATTTCTTCGAAGTTCGTTTAACGCTCGAAACTATTTACTTTAAATAAATGAGTTTCGATATAATCGGCGCATTCACCCTTTAACTCAGACCAAATCTCCTTAGTGTTGATAGAATGTATTATCAAAAATCGTATCTAATCCCTACTATTTTTTTAGAATTTTCATTGGTTAGCTCCATGCTTACTTGATTACAATTTCTAAACATCAATATACTTACATATGTACATAAGTATTGTAAGTGCATGTTTGCCTGCATGTTCATTGGGGTGGTCATTAAAATATCAAAATCAAGGGGCGCTCATTTATTTTGTTCTACTTACAAAATAAAGACATCCGCGAACATTTTAAAATTAAACAAAAAAGTTTGGGGTCACTATCAGCGTTTAAAAAAAATATATTTTTTTTTGTTGAAAAAATTCGAAAAAATATTGACATTGAAAAGCTATGTATAACTCAGCGAGTTTAATAATAATAATTTAATATGTAAAATTTGTCAGATTTTAAGTGAATATTTTTGTCGAACTTTTGCGATTTTTCAAAAATTAAAATTTTGAATATAAATTTTTTCAAACCCTGGTAGCGACTGCTAAAGTTTTTTATAAAATTTTCAAATTTTCGTGAATGTTTTTGAATTAAATTTTTTCCAACGTTGGTAGCGAGCCCTAAAAATTTGTTATAAGGTTTTGAAATATTCGTAGATGTTTTTATTTTGTACGTAGAACAATATAAAGGAGTGCACTCTACAAAATTTATATTTTAATATTATTATGCACCATCCTAATGTTCATTGTGTGGTACTATTTCCTTTTTACTCCTTCATCGTTATCCGCTTTCAATAAATCTACAAAATTTAATTTCCGGCTAAAATGTTGCAAACCACTTGGCAGCCAACCAGCAATACCCAAAAGGTAAGAGCAACCAAGGCAGAAACAATGACAGTGATAACTGCAAGAACAACAATAAATAGCAAAGCAACTCCTTTGCCAAAGTAAATCCTTAAGCTTTAGTCGAGAACAACAACAATAACAGTGGTTGGCAGCACCTTTGCCATAAGCTGCGCCAATGCTACTTTCTACATACATATTTCTGAAACTTCTTGATTTCTTCGCATATTCTTCACACTCAACACAACTAGCTTTTAATGCGATCACTACTTTTCACTTTGCTGCTCCTATTTTGTTGCCTTTTTTTTAAATTACCTTAAAGGCGCATTTTCTTCTAGCTCTTATGTAATTATGCCCGTTACACTCACATGCATACATTCAAGCACCCAGAATTTTAATTCACCTTTGGCTATTCGCAGATTCTCTCCAACTGCCCACAGCGGCTTACAAGCGTCCTGCTGCGCTCCTATCGCCAATGTTGACCTGTCTTCTATGTCCTTCGTGTACTTTATTTATGCGATTCTATGTTTTGTTTTGTGTCTGTGTCGATTTATATGTTTGTTTCTCATTAAAATTTATGCATTGTGTAATCATTTTTGTGGCGCTTGCTGCTCCTTAACACAACACCACACCAACATCCTCCTCCATCACCCACCTTTCCACCACTGCTTCACCACATTTTCTCACATTTGATGTTAATTCAATTGTTTGTTAAGTGAATTATGTCCTCTAACATCCTGCACTTGTGCCACATTGTCCTGGCGTTGCTTTATGAGCAGCGCTTTGCTGGCCGGCCAACAGCTGAATTAAGTTAGTGTGTCTCTGTTGTTGTTGTTGTCGTCAACGTTGTCATTGCTTTGCACACTCACTCATCTTCTTCTTACCGCTGGCAGCTTTCGTTAATTGAGTTCGTATTTATGTTGCTTTTTTTTTGTTTTTCTCTGCTGTTGTAAACGCTTAAGGATTTACGTCCTACTAAAGTCTTTATGTACCTTTGTTATCATCTATTTGCGTTAATTATTAAGAATGTTGGCCATGCTGCATCCTATGGCGTTAAGCGTGTAATAAATGTTAATGTACATTGAAATTTAAATTACCAATCGCTTTCAATTAGTTATCGAGCACTAATTGGGGGATTTGGATTATTGAGTAGTGAAATTTAGTATGTGCGTGGTTTATGGTTTTGGTGGTGGTGAAATGATTGCCAATAAAGTGGCAGCGCTGTTCGTAAAAGCTTTGAAATGCGTGTGTCAAATTAATTTGTTTAAGTAAGAATTTCGTTGTAATAAAGTTTTACAATTTTCATAAAATTTATTTGCCCCTAAATTTGTCTCTACTCGTGAAGTCTCGGACCACTGAGGGTAGTTTGATACTTAAAAAAAAAGTTGTATCGATAACTTAAAGTTGTGGCACACAATATATTTGTAGGCATGTATGTGCCATTTTTACTGTTATATATTTTTTCTCTACTCGTTTATTTCATGGGGTATTCATGCCATTAGGGTGCTCTTTAATGTAAAAAATATGAAAGGAACATGAAGGAAAAGTGCAAACAAAGTTTCTCAGCAACGTTTCTAAACAATGTTTCTTCATGTTTATTTGCACCAAAGTGTACCCAGCTGCCGCGGGTTTTCGGTAAAAATAAACGCTTTTTGGTGAAAATGAAACGACAGTTTCGGATTCCTTTTGATGGTATAAATATTTGCATTTTAATCACTTTTAATTATTTTAAATGCTTCAAATTGAAAAAAAACCCTTAAAATCGCCAGCCTGAGAAAACTGAGAAATTAATTTTCTATATACAATCCAGAATTTTAGAAAAACTTGGCTTCGTCAATTCCCCAGCCGACTCCCGAACAGTGTAATTCAATTAGTTAATAACACAGGTCAACAACGTTTTGTTCTAGGAAAGTGTAGGGTCATTTTCGAAGTAATTTTTTGCGTAGAATCCGAATCCGGGGTTTAAATTGCTCTATCACGTCAGGATTTTGAGATATCCTAACCTAAAAGTGCAAAAACGCTGTTTTTGCCCATTTTTGAGGTTATGTAGCTACGCAGATTTTGCTCTTCATAAAAGAGTAAACGTGGTATTTTAAAGTATAAGTCTTCCTCTTTTAAATGCCGTTGAGTTTGCTTAAATATATTTATTTTTCACTGAGATATCGCATTTTGAAGTCTCCATGTTTGTCAATCACGTCTCATGTTATCTCAATGGATTTTCGAATATCGAAAAATTCACAAACATGGAAACTTCAACGGCATTTAAAAGAGGAAGACTTATACTTTAAAATACCACGTTTACTTTTTTATGAAGAGCAAAATCTTCGTAGCTACATAACCTCAAAAATGGGCAAAAACAGCGTTTTTTGCACTTTTAGGTTAGGATATCTCAAAGTCCTGACGTGATAGAGCAATTTAAACTCCGGATTCGGATTCTACGCAAAAAATTACTTCGGAAATGACACTACACTTTTATAGAACATTCCGAACCCATTTTTTTGCAGACCTGTGTAATTATTATATTATTTCCGTGAACTTAATATTTCTGAAAATATAATAATTTGAAATTTTGAAACTCCTTCCTTGGCTGATATATATGTACATACAAAGATCATGATTCAATAATTAAAGGTTAGATAAACTGAAAGTTGTTTCTCT